CAGAATCATGCATGAGAAGATACCCAAAGAGACACTCACCACAGATGCAGTCATGACCTCCTCACCCCACAGAAAGGGCAGCACTTGGCTGTACTTTCTGGCACCCCACCTTGAGCAGGGAAAACAACTGGGGTAGAGTGGCGGGGAGATGTGTAAAGCTACCCATTTGCTGTATGATTTAGAACCATCTTTACCTCCAGAGGCAATTCCAGATCTGCTATATTCAATCCTTCACTTGTGTATCTGCCTTTGCAGCAGATTCAAGAGTCAAGTAAGATAAATGTTTTAAACAAGTTATTTTTAGGCCCAGACGCAAGTGTATTTGAAGTGCTTATATCATAATATTTCATTTTGAACCTGAAATTTCAAGGGGAGAAAAAACAGCCAGGTGCACTAAGAACATATGCAAAATAAACAGCAAACAAGGAAAAGTCAGACTTAGCTCTCACATTTACAATGAAGCTTCTTGTTCCTTGTGACCTTTACTTATTCTAAGAGAAATCCTTGTAAAATGCCCTATAATAAAAAGGATTTGAATATAAAGATGGAATTTTTTGGCAGCTCTGATGTATGATTTTATATCTATAGGTTTAAAAAGACTTCTGCAGACAAATGAAAGCTGAAGCAGTTCATTAACGGGGAAAATGTGATTTCTGTAACTACATTTCATTTCAAACTGATAGAAACAGAGTAAAAATCCCATGCTTAAATAAATGAAAAGTTACTGGCTGTCTCTGATGTCAGTTTGAGGACTTTAAAATTCTCATCTTGCCCACATTTCAATACCTACATGAGGCCATGGAATTCTTCCTTCATGGGCACAGAGTAAAATACCTTTATATCAGGAAATTGGCCCAGGTAGGTGTCCAGAGTCAGCAACGACCCATCCACTAGTTTTTGATGGAAGTCTTCCCACAGAACATCACATTTCTAAAAGAAAAAGAGAAAGAGAGAACTGCTCAACTATTTTAATTGGATAACTTTCACCAAACTTCTCCAAAATCTGAAACTATAAAATTAGATACATAATACTTTCTCAGATACTAGATACTAGAAAAAAATGAAGATTACCATAAAGCAATCAAATTTTAAGGCTATTTGGTCACCAGTTCTAATTAACAATACGGGCTATCTAAGAGTTCAGCTCATGAAAAATGTATGAGGGTACCTCAAAAAGTTCATGAAAAGATTCGTATAATCTTTTAACTCTGTTTTTCCACAAACTTTTTGAAGTATCCTTATATTTCTGATTCTGAATTACTAAAGAATGTTGAAGCTTCAGAAAGTCCCATATCCCTATTGATGGACTTTTGGGCTAAGATGTTTTTCCACAAACTTTTTGAAGTATCCTTATATTTCTGATTCTGAATTACTAAAGAATGTGGAAGCTTCAGAAAGTCCCATATCCCTATTGATGGACTTTTGGGCTAAGAGACTGAGAATTCCACTGAGACAACTCGTTTCTGAAGCAATCCATGAAATCAGAAACCAGCCTAGACAGAAATAAACAACAAACCATTGCTGAAGCCTCCACAAAGAGCACAAAATTCACAGTCATTTTGGGAAGGGCCACACCATTTATGCAGTAGCAACTATGATGACTACACAATAAATATCAGGTATTATCATGTCACTACCTGCACTGCCACAATAGCTATGTCGACACTCTACATGTGTGCACGCACGTGTGTGGGTAGTCACTTAATTCTCACAATATTTCTATGAGGAAAGACTTATCATTACCACTATACAGAAGAGGATACTGAAGCCCAGAGAT